ATTTCATGCTTGCTGAATGGGCAAAAACACAGAATTGAGGGAGGTGAAGCATAACAAATGATAACAAGCTCATGTACAAATTTAATGATAAAAGCTTAGCAAGATACAGATACAAACAAAAGCAAACCCCCTGAAACCTCTGGGCTACACTTGCATGCTTTAGTCAGTCACCAAACCTTGTCATTGATAGCTCCTATTATCCTCAAGTTGGTCTTTGTGAGGCTCCCGGATCGGATGTTCCGGTGAAGCTTTGAACTTGTGTGCGAAATTCTCAAAGTTCCTATTTTTGTCCGTGTCTTTTTATCTTCAGTATCCGAAATTTAAACCTCCAAAGTGGCGTGTGTTTCATTAAATAGAAGGAAATAATAAAATAAAAAGCCAGTTTTCTGACATGGCAAAGTTGTCCCGTCCCAACGCTAAGGGACGTCCACTTCTTAACATCAGGATTCATCTGACATTCACCGGCAACTGAATTGTTCGCTTCAGTACTGAAACAGCTTACAATCAAGTCTTCAGCCATAGTGATCAGCAACTGGTAAAATACTTTGCCCATAAATTGTGCTTATTAATTGCTTATGTACTACATAGATCGATAGTTCTCTCTTTGAGTTAAAGAAACGGCCCCGGCGTTCCAAAACTGACCCTCACAGTCATCTTTTAGTGTGAACCTACCGTGAATGGCGTGTTGGTTTGTATGCAACGTGAGCATTTCTCTGAGTTTTTCAGCGCCAATGAATGAATGAATGATAACTTTATTTATACACGGTTAAAAACATCAGTCTAACATAGAAAATTAATTTAAAATTCTCAAAAACTCTTTTACATATTTGCCGTGTGGGAGTACTGATCAGAAAACCATCTATGGGAAACTCCCTTAAAGAAACCTAAGGAATTTGATGCACCTATTTCCTCAGGAAGATTGTTCCATAGAAGAGCGCTACTGTAACTAAAGCTCCGCTTTAGGTAATCAGTTCTTGGTTTTGGGAGCATTAATTTTTTCTCCGCTTTGCGAAAATAGTAATTCGGTGTTCTTGGAGCAAACAAATTACAGAGATAAGCGGGAGCGAGATTATTAATGCACTTGTACATTAGCCTTTCGTTTAGCCCTTCTAACCGATAAATTGTCCCATCCAAGCGAGTTAAGAAGAAATCTGGAACTAGTATCATAGCTAGATTTGGTGATAATTCTGATAGCACGGTTTTGAAGTTTTTGAAGTTTCTCACTAAGCTGTTGGGTCAAGCCATCCCATACAGCGCTGCAATAATCGAAGTGTGGCTCGATAAGACCTTTGTATATTTTAATCGCAGTGTGCATTGAAACAAATGGCTTGACCCGCTTTAAAGCACCGATACCAGAGGATACTTTTTTAGAGATTTCATGAATGTGGGCCTTCCACGAGAGATTTTCATCAATGCCGGATAAGCCCGAGAGATTTGCTTTGAATGCTTTGGTTTATTGGGATGCCGTCTATATGAATGTTCATTGTGTAGTCATTTAAGGACTGTAGTTTCTGCCTCGAGCTAATAACCATAAACTCTGTTTTGGCGACATTGAGACTTAACTTATTAGCTTTGAGCCAGCGATCAATATATTTCAGGTCACTATTGATTTGGGACTCAAGATCAGGTATAGCAGCTGCAGAAAAGGTAACATTAGTGTCGTCGGCGTACATTCTAGGAGAGCCCACAATCAAACAATTTGGTAGATCATTTATATAGAGTAAGAAAAGAAGAGGACCGATTAATGACCCTTGAGGTACGCCACAATTTAGAGGGCTCGCGCTAGATAGATGATTGTTTAAATTACACCTTTGCATACGGTTAGCTAGGTAAGATTTAAACCATTTCAGCGCGTTTTGATCAACGCCATACTTAGTAAGTTTTTATAGAGTTATCTCGTGGTCAATAGTGTCAAACTGCCGCCTTCTTCAAATCAATAAAGATTACACCACTGAGAAGGCCTCTATCAATATTGAACCAGGAATTTCTAGGAAAACTAGGAATTTCTTGTGCTAAAGATTGGCCTATGTTTGTAAAATAATAGTTTAATGCTTCAGCAATATCACTAGGTGAGGTATTAACTTGGTTTCCTGTTTTGACTTGAGACACTTTGGTTGATTTACTTTGCCGAGATTGGAGTTCATTGATTAATCGCTAGGTTTTACGAGGATCACTTTTGTTTGCTTCAAGGTTTTCAGAAAAGTATTTACGTTTAAATTTCTTCACTGAGTTATTGGCCTTATTTCTTGCATCTTTAAACTGTTTCCAAATGGAAAGGTCCTTTGTAGATGCAGCTTTCCTTTTTTAGAAAATCTCTTTTATGAATTTCACGCAACAGTGCATTAGTAATCCAGGGAGACCGTTTGTTTTTCACCCTTTTTGTTCTGAATGGTGCATGCTTATCAATAACATTCGCCAGCAGGTGTTTCCAAAAGTCCCACATTTTATTTGGATTATTATGCGTTGTAACGCGGTTCCAGTCAATCTCACAAGAATTCAGCTTCATTGAAATTCTTGAGCTGTCAGACTTCAACAGTTTTATGCATATTGGAGCGAAGATGAGTAACTGTGCGTGTAAGATAAATAGCGGAGTGATCACTTATACCAATATTAATAACACCCGACTTTGATATCTTATCTGGGGAATTCGTTAGGCATAAATCGATCAGAGTACTTGAATATTGTGACTCGAATTGGTTCTGTAATACGTTGAGTCAGATTAGAAATATAGATGATATCTAAGTGTTGAGAAGAGATGTTACTGACAACCTCCGATAATAAATTACAATTTCAGACACCCATAAGATATAGCTCCAAGTTTTCCGCTTCAATTTTATCAAAACTTCTCTCAAAGGTTGAAAAGAGGTCAGGAGATGATTGTAATGGTCTGTACCAGATAGACACGAGGAAAGGCTTTGAGCGGGGTTTAGTGATTTCAGCAGTGAGACATTCAAGATTATTCGGGCTAAGATCAGCACGAAGCTAAAAATTGATATTACTACGAACATAAATATAAACACAACCACCATTGCTGCCATTGCTCTCACGGTCTTTCAACAAATGACTTAAACTCAAACAATGACAAAACATGTAAAGTGACTTCTACATGATCGAAACGCTTCGAACAACGTAAATAGCCTTCTTGATTCGCAACGCCTTCTGGGTTTCTGGGGGAGCGGAGGCGAGGTACTAAAAATATTATTCGTGTAAGGGTCCGTGCAAAGGAAAATCGTATGAAACCACCTGTGAGAAAATCGTTTCTCGGTACCAGACCCACGTGTCTTCCCTCCCCTGGGAGCCCGTTTGTGGAAGCATGTCGGCCTGCGGCCGACGAAACTCCTCGCCGCATGTCGCACGCGAGAAAAGAATTTCCTGTACCTAGGGTAACCTCAACTGGACTGCCGACACCAACCACGGACTTCAAAATTAACTTTCATTATTAGACATTGCACCAAGTACCTGCCTTCTCATTGGCTAAGAGCCTAAAGTTATGTTTGGCAATTGGCTAGAGATTGGATTATACCTTTTTAAGATGATTAGAGTATTCAATTTTTAACTTGCTAACTTATTAAGGGTAGATTAATTTGCAACATACGCATATAGCTGTAGCATTTGCCAGCTGAAATTTCTTGACGGTTTTAAGCTTAAACACAATAAAAAAATTTTTCAACTGGAAATGCAAGAGCTATACGCGTATTTTGCAAATGAATCCACACAAAGTCAAACTGCTTTCTGACAAAAGTTGTCAGTTTATTGTTTTTGACTATGACATAAGCAGAAAAAGTATATTTTAGAATAGAAAGCAAGAGACTATAAAGGGGACAGAGAGGGCATCCCCCATTTACACCCTATTCCATAGGTAATTCGTCTCGAGTTATTTTTAGAATCGGGATAAAGTTACCTCGAGCGAGGCGTGGATGTTTCGTGGAGGTTTCACATGACTAAACGCCCTGCAAAACATGTCGGGCGAGAGGCAATGAAAGCGTAAAAAGATCGAGAGCATTCCTGAATATTGAAGCGAAATGAGTCGGCGCTCACCTGGGAAAAAGGAATCGCTGGACTCTTTGACAACCCGTGAAATCAGTTTAACTCGAAGTTGTCGTAACCTCAGTGCTTTAATAAAATGAGAAATTTCGCCGGTCTATTGAAACCGGTCGTTTGTACAATTTAGGGAGTTTAAGATCCAACGACGCGGACGACAACTAGAACGTCAAAAAAACAATAGGTTTAATTAGCAAAACAACAACTTCGCACGTGCAACACACTTTTTTGTTCATTTCTTTCCCGTTTTTGCACGACTACGACGTGAAAATGCCTAATTTCGCGTTTTATGGAGGACGTAAATAAGCAACGACGAAATTTTATTTCTCTTTCTGAGCTTGAATATGGTCCCTTGAAATTCAGCTTTAGGAGGGTTCGCCTACAATTGACAAAGTAAGTGGGTAGGAATAATCGCTATAAAGACTGAAAAAAATAAACATCAAACCAGAAATTGCTCTCTTCAAACTGTAAATTATAAATGATCCTGAGAGAATATTCAGTGTGTTAAGGATTTCCCTGCTCTACTGTTAGCTCTATACAAGAGAGGAAGGGCGATTCTTTTTTAATTTCGGTTTCGCTGACACAGCTTTCGCAGAAATCTCGCTGTAGTCGTTTTCGTCGACAAAAGGAATAGCAAAATCGCTCTCCGCGTCTTCCCCCATTTTGTTCTGCGTCATTTCGTGAAGGACGCGTGGCTCTCAGCGTGGGTCATCCACGCGGAACACATTCGCGCTATGTGATTGGCTGTTGTCTAATCCCTCTTGAGATCTGTGGTGTTAAAAATAACTCGAGACGAATTACCTAGGGAATAGGGTGTATATGGGGGATGCCCTCTCTGTCCCCTTTATAGTCTCTTGATAGAAAGTTATTAACTGATAAACGAGCTACAATTCTAGTGCAATATTTTTCTGTGCTTTATATAAAAAGCCCTTCGTTAAATTGAAGACACACTGACTGCTTTACAAAAACTTAAAGTTCTTGTAATACACCACATTGTTGTAACCATTGGCAACCAAGACACCACCACGTTTTCGGATTGGATAGCGCGGGTTGAATGACGTCACCAATGTTCCTTTGAGGTAGACCTTCACTTCTCCGGCAGGTGTGGAGTTCGACACTACCACCCTGATGTTGAACCATTCTGCTCCCTTGGGGGGACCGTTGGGACAAGAGGCGGACTTTGCTCCGTCAAATTTTGGTTGACCTTTGTAAACGTAGCCCGTCTGAAAACATCCGCTGGATGAATGAGGCCTGGGAAATAAAAAAAAGCAATAAGTAAAATTAAGCGAATGCAACTAAACCTAAAAGGCTTATTGCATGACTGAGTCACGAAAACATGTCAGCTAATATAGCACTTCCCATCTTGACACAGAATTTCTAATACTCCGAAATCATTTCCGTAAACTGAACTCCGCGAGGTTACTTCCTTATAAGAGGCTAATGGGGATGTCCCGCTGGACGGGGTCGCATTTTCACGTCTGGATTGACTATAATAGGACTGCATTTTCAATGGAGTTTCTAGAATGGCGTCGCACATTTTCGGATTTTTGGGGTGACAAAGTTCTTCACATTTAGGCCGCGTTAGCAAACGTACCAGAATGTTTGTACTGTAAGTGAAAAGTAAAGTGTTCTTTATTCAATATAAGGTAGATACATAATAGATAATGACTGCTTTGTTGGGATCGCGACAATTACATTTGCCCAAAAGTGACTAAGATGGGGTCTATAATTGGCAAGAGAATAGACTATAATGGGGTAGGGGCTCTGAGAGGCCAGCAGCACATACTTAGCAAATATTAACCCTAGTACCCCCCCCTCCCCCCCTCACCCCTGGACGGCAATGGTCGTAAGAAGGTTTTGAAAAATTCAGATTGTCGCTCAGGTTTGAAATCAAAGTAGTGACAACTTCCGTCTTATGCTGGTTGTATAAATTGCAACAAACCTAAAATAGACGAAGTCATAGTTGTCTTGATCTTCGGCGTTTAATAACACTCCTGGATGACCAAAGTTGACTCCGTCACGTCCAATGAAGTTGTACATATCGACTGAGAGCTGGTAACTTGATGTACTGCCGTCTCTAAGGTAAGCTACTTGACAGAAGCCATCCTGCGGCCAACGTCCGTGGGCAGCATCCACTTTAGTGTATCCAGGTAGCTCATCAACCTGCATCGGTACATTAAAATTACGTGAAGTAAAATCATATGTGAAAATTCCTCTTCATCACTCTTCTTGGGGAAGATGTTGGACTCCCGTATGAACCCAGGAACACTCGTGGGAAAAGTAAAATTAAACGCATAAGGGAGACTGATCTGAGCGTGGTGTGTGCTATATTTGAAGCCTTGAGGAACAAAAAAGTTCACTAAAAGCTACACCGAGTGATTTTTAAATGTGCTTCAACCTCGTCCCCAGGGCGCTTTCCCCTGGCTTTTGAGGTGGGGCCCCAACTCGAAAGCCAGGGAAAAGCGCCCTGGGGACGAGGCTGAAATACGCTGATATCGAACGTCACCCGCGTCAAAAGAACAAAAAATTGAAACTAGAGATTGAAACTAAGAGTCCGAGTTCTTTACAGCCGTTTTGATGGGCCTTTAAATGAAGCGAAATGAGTCAGCATTTAATCAAAGCCAAAAACTGGTCATGCCACTTTTGGAGAACACGTTTATAAGTTAATTTGTGTAGAGGAATCCCCATTTTTCGAACCATCTTGGGAAATGAAAGTAAGTTCTAAGTTTCGGGAGGTTCGAAAAATCGGAGCGCAGGGGGAATTACAGGTTTTGACTGGTGAAGGGAAGTTATCGATAGATTTAATTTGGTTCAAATTATCGGGAATTTCGAAATACCGAGGGTTAACTTTAGAGAAATCGGGATTCTGCTGTAATGAACATGCAGACTTCTCGTCAAGTGGCTTTGGAATCTTGTAAAACAAAGTCTTCTGAGAGTCATTTCTTATTGTGTCATTGACTTGCGTCAAGTACCGCTTTTGTGTCATTGATGTTTAATTCACACTACCTTTTTGCATCTCTTAGTGACGTACGTTTGAGGCGCAATTTTGAATTTCGTTAAGAGGACCACGTTTTTGTAACCATGAAAAGTGAACACTCCTCCCCAGGCCCTTGGAGCAAAATGGGACTTGATGGACGCCACCAGGACCCCACTGTGGTATACTTGTACATCCTGACCGTGCACTGTAACTGAGACTGGGAACCATACACCACCTTTCGGAGGGCCATTAGAACACGCGGCACTTTTGACAAACGTCAACTTTCCATTGGCCATGTATCCAGTCTGATAACATCCACCGACCGAGTGAGGTCTGAATAAATAATTCAAATAAGAGTCTCAGAAAACTTTTAACCTTAAAGAAATTGCCTCTCGGAACTGCAGTGTATTCCAACCCATCTGCCCACTTATCCTGTCCACAAAACTGTGCAATAATCTACTTATACAAGAGAGAATGATGGTCCCAGTATTCTTTCTTGACTTATCAGACTTTGGATAATTATGATGAGAACGCATTGCATGGAGTGGCCTCCAACGTAGACGTTTTCAGGGCATGGTCGCGCGTTCCTTCCTTTGTTTTGTGGTGGAGGGGAAGGAACGCGTTGCGGATCCCTAAGAACGTCTGCGTGGTAGGCTATGCATGGAGGGAGGTCCGTACAAATGTAAGACGCGATTTTACTTCCGCCAATTCCAGCATTTCCTGCGACCCTTATTACTTTCTTCTAAGTGTTTCTTACTTACAATAATATAAGGTGCTACCTTCTCCAATAGGGAGGGGGTGAAGCATCGGTTATGAGGGCCTTTTAGGGGCATGTGCGCCATTACGTACCTTGTTACTCTTTGGATAATAATGATCAAAGGAGTTAAGATTAACATTTTTCAATTGATCTAAACGGAATCTTAAGTATCTTTTTCCCACGTGCTTGTTAATGAGAAAAAGGAACTGGAAATGAGTCTGTTTGGCGCTCAGTATATCCCAGTCAATATCCGGCTTTTCTTCGTATCCTGAAACTCTGTTAAAGTCCAGTTAGATTTTTAAAGACTGAAAAAAATTCATAACAAAACAGATCAAACTCACCGGAAGTAAACAAAGTCAAAGTTATTCTCATCCAAAGCGTTGTACAGCAATCCAAGATGTCCGCTGTTTACTCCCTGCCAACCTATCTTATTCAGAAGTTCCGCTGACACGCTATAAGCCTGCGATTCGTCAATTGGATAAGAAAGTGCACGACACATAAGATTTTTGTTGCCGCCCAGAGCATCCAACTTGAATTGGTTGTCTTTGATGGATTTCACCATGCTCGTGCATTCTACTACAGCGGAAGCCGAAAACTTGCTTCCATCTATGATGAGAAAAGGAAATACAAGAACACGAAATTGGGATTTCTTGAAAGGAGAAAATAGAAAGGGAGGAAACAAAATGGACGTAAAAGGAAAGAGGAAAAATGGATGAGGAAGGAAAGTAGGAAGGGAAGAAGACAGAGGAAAGAGGAGAGAAAAATGGGACGTAAGGTGACGGGAAGGAATGAGGGGATAGAGGGTAAAGGAAAAAGCCAGAGACGAGAAGAGTAATTTGACAAACAAAAATCAGAATTCACCATCAAATTTCTATCATTGCTTCGTTTAAAAAGCACATATCGACATTCCAGTCCAAGCAGTATGCAAGATGTTTCTCACATGAAGCTAGTTTAGTGGCCTTAAATCCCACAAGTCTCCTGTAGCTCAGTGGTAGAGCATCTGGACTAAAGAAGGTCATAGGTTCGACTTCTTTTGTGAGTACTCGAATTTTTTTTTCAAGTAGTCCGTGTCACTGACTGAATAACATCTTCATCCCCATTGATGTTTATAGAACGCCGGTACATTTTTTTATTTCTCTTTTCTAAAAAGGTGATCAATTTTACAACTTGCGAGCACAAGACAATCTTCAGATGATTTATCTGAACCGTCCTGATTCAATCCACTTTCAGTCCAGGGATTTCGTTTTTCAAACCGAAAATAATGATCAAAAGCCTGACAGAACGCAGCAGTAGTGGTGGTCTCACCCCCGTGTGTAAGTTACCAGTTCTCACATGTCTATAATGCCACTGATCATTGCCTCGAGTAACAGGGAACAAAAAACTCTAATTAATTTTCCAGCTAAATAAAAGTTATAAAGCACACTGTTGACTTTCGCTAACGTCAATTTATTCAGCTTTCATTTATTATAATAGAGAATTAAATACTTAATTAACATGGAATATAATTTTTAAAGTGAGACCTTCAGAAAATTACGTCGTTTTTTTGTGATCTCTTTTAATAGTAGATTTAACGCAATTTCGTCAATTTTTGTTACTCTCTATCAAAAAGAAATTGTTCATTAAACACAATACTTCATTTTTCTGAACCTAGCCATACGCCTTAATCAAAAGAGTTATGCTTTGACAGGTGTTTGTCCAACTAAATCTTTCTTAATAACAACTTGCAGCCAGTTAAACATTCGCCTCTCCATTTCTCGTCTTTTTTTCCTCATAAGGAGCAACTTCCAACAAGAAAAGGAACAGTATCGCTTTCGCACATGCGGTGATCAAGGATTCTTGTTGTCACGTTTATCCGTGAACGCTGGAAGTACAAAATGTTCATAAATAACGGTGCTAGATAGTCTCCAAACGATCTTTACGTTACAAGACGTATTCAAGGGATAAGATTTCTTGTCATGATCATCTCCACTTTTTAATGCACCTTTTAGATTAAAATTTCTTTTGCAAAGAATAAAGAAAAAAAATTAAAAAATTAAAAATTACGGAAAATTTCATTGAATTTTTCGGCATTACGTGAGCAAACAGCGAAAAAGTTGCAACATTGTGTGATAATATATGTTCACGTCAAACCATTAAGATCGCCTTTTTTATTTCATTCGCGTCATTCGGTCTAATCTAGAGTTAGTGACCCGCCTGAGAGGTTCAACCAGCAGTTACTGATTTTACAAATCTGAAATAACCTGCAAAAGGTTATTTGGAGCGAATTAGGAAGATCTAAATCGCCGAAGATCTTACCTTCAGTACAGGGCTGTGCACCAAACAATTTACTATTTTCTTTGACTTTCTTTTCCAAAATATCCTGTCTTTGTAGTATAGTATCAACCACTTCGCACACTCTGTCCAATGTACAAGGGTGTTGAGCGCTTGATACTGAATTTTTCGAAACTGGGCTGCTTTCTTCCGCACCGCCGACGTCCAGGGAAACAAAACAAACCGCACCCGCAAGAAACAAAACGAAAAGCTGCATTTTGCTCCTCAAACATCTGGCATTGTAACACGGCCACACGCACACAAAAAAAATGCTTAGATCCGAGCAAATTCATCTGTTTGGGAGAATGATCATATTCACTTGCTCGTGACATCGGCCAATCANTCTTACCTTCAGTACAGGGCTGTGCACCAAACAATTTACTATTTTCTTTGACTTTCTTTTCCAAAATATCCTGTCTTTGTAGTATAGTATCAACCACTTCGCACACTCTGTCCAATGTACAAGGGTGTTGAGCGCTTGATACTGAATTTTTCGAAACTGGGCTGCTTTCTTCCGCACCGCCGACGTCCAGGGAAACAAAACAAACCGCACCCGCAAGAAACAAAACGAAAAGCTGCATTTTGCTCCTCAAACATCTGGCATTGTAACACGGCCACACGCACACAAAAAAAATGCTTAGATCCGAGCAAATTCATCTGTTTGGGAGAATGATCATATTCACTTGCTCGTGACATCGGCCAATCAGAAACTAGCGCCGGTTCCATAATTCAAAAACGTTTCACCTCGCAAAACTGGCTAAGTAACCATTGAGGGCAAAATGGATTGCGCAGATTTTTCTGGTTGGATTTTCTACAACTCGATGTGAAATTTTTTTCTTTCCAGCAAACCGACATGAAGTAATTTCGTGGTTATAATTTTTGATTATAGTGATCTAACTGCTAAAATGATAGTTAGAACAAAGTACCGCAATGACACCGTTAGTCAAATGTAGCCTGCGTAACAAGCTTTTCCGTGTGGCTTCGTAACAAAGAAAGACCGAGGAGCGCACGGTATTTTCGGTTTTGGCCGCGCGAACCCCCTCCCGGCTCTTCTACTCGCCCCATTTTTCGCGCGGTTTCTTTGCTCCGAAACCGCCTGGAAACACTTACTTCGCAGGCTAGTCAAATGCGACACTGTTACTATAAGAGATCTAACTGGGTAACAAAATAAGACTTGAAGCACCCCCCGAAGGAAAAGCAAAGGCAATCAGAGAAAAAAATGATATACTAAACACATTGAGCCGCGGACGAAAGCCTCGATTGGTGAAAATGTTTTCAATAAAGTAAAGTCAGACATAATGCCAACATTATAAATCGCAAAATACGAACCAAATGTTCTAACATCTACGCAGACACAGTCTGAAGTAATCTGCATCCTTTCAAAGTGTGTGGTAAATGTTTCCTTTCATCACAGATCTTTTTTTTTCCTGATTGCCTTTTACTCGCTTTTAGAGCAATAGGCTGTTGCTTCCTTTTATACATTGCCTCTATTTTATTTCCGCGCATCAAATTTACGACGTGTTTGAAATTACACGACATTGAAAATCCAAAACCGGCAGCTTTCGCATTTTGCGCTCGAAAAGGACCCTTCAATGCAGAAAATTTATTGCAGGCGACAAAAGGAGCCCGCAATCCTAATCACCAGGTTGTTATTACGCATGCGTCGCATGTATGTACCCAGCATTCATTTGGACTTCCACTAATAATGTATGGAATGCACAAAACGCAATTTGATCACGCGCGCTCAGACCTTCTACTCCTCGTCGGCTGATCCGCGCGTGTTTTGAACATCTGTCAAGTCAAGAGTCATAATGGGACTCGGTCAAGTGGCTCTTGGTCAAGTGAAAAGTAGGCAAAGCACAGCGTTGGAGCAACTGAGCCTTTGGACCTGCGATCGTTGTCGCCCGCACTCCCTAACCTTTGGTTATTACTAGACTGCTTGCAGTCCGCTTCTTCTTTTAAATCCGTCTAGTTCTCAGCTAGCGCGATTGCAAAGCACGACGTAAAGAAAAATAAGAGACTGCTCGCAGTCTAGGTTATTACTAGTATTCAGTTATTTTCAATGGGCTCAGGCCTAATGCCTGCTAATGCGCGCGCGGGTCGGCTGCAATGCAGGCCCGGGAATGCAGGCTACCCTAAGTTCCATTTTGCTTGCCTGGTACGAGAGATGCCAAGTGGTCTATGGTTTGCACTCCGGGAACTTTCACCGCGCTAGAGATTTTGTCATTTGTGGATTTGACACAACAAAAAACCGCTAAATGCTCAGTATTAAACCTTGTCGGAAAATAATGCTTATGTAATACTCCCTAGGAATACTTGAAGGCTATTTTATTTGCACGTAAGGCCATTCTGCACGCGATATGTTTTTTTGTAGTTTTATGGTAACGTCATATTTCAACGCTGAACGTATACCATTACTAAGGCCTTGTTTTTTACCTATGTATAGCGTTATGTGACGGAAACATTAGAACTGTATTTTTGTACTTAAGTTAAAGATTAGAAAATAAAAACAGATTGTGGAATGTTGTGATCAGGTGGTTAACTTAGAACGTGTAAAAGAAAGAAAATCTTGGGAATAAAATACAGTCCTCACAGAAGATGTATTGAACGTGGATAGTCCCGAAAAAACCTTACCTTCATTACAGCGACCACCAAGTATCGCGCTGTGTTCTTTAACCTTCTTCTCCAAACGATCTTGCCAGTTTGAGACGTTATCGAGTAAAGTGCACACGTTTCGAAC